ATACAAATTTTGTTATGTTCAGTGTTGTCAGTTCTGGAAACATTTTAATTTATTGAATAAACTAAGGACTGACTCACATCAGGGCCAGCCAGAATTTTCAAAGAATCATGGTGAGAGAAAGCAAGGAGCATGAGTCGAAACTAGAAGTTGCTTTCTGGTCTGCCTGCCTTGGCTGTTTTACAGGGACAACGTGTAAGAAATGGCATGTAATGCTATTCAGTTTGCAAACGAAATGATCTCTTCTAGATCTCCAAAGAGCTTCCCAGAGTAATCCCTGAGCCATTCACAAGCTCCTGAAGAAAAATTGGACATTCTTTTTCTTCCTTCTGTTCAGTACAAGTGTATTTGCAGGCAAGAGTGCTGATTTTACAGGCAAAGAAATGAGATTTTCACTCAGAAAGAAATCTTAATCCCCCAAATGCAATCTCAACAAAGCTAAAGAAGAAGCTAAGGCTCTGAAGTGGTTTGTCTATCAGTGCACAGAATCCAGGACCAGTTAGGTGGCCCTCCCTGAAGGCTGAGCAAATAAAATGAAGCTAAGTCATTCCCACTGTTGTAGAGGTTTCGCTGGGACATTCCCCAGACTGAAATGCACAGGTTGTCTTGATGAAAGCCCTAGAGGTACCACCTTTTGACCCATTTGGCCACAGAGTAAAAAATGTTGTCTGAGGATATTTGCACTGCTATGGACCAGGGTTCATGAGTTAGAAATCTGTAGACACTATCTGGGCTACTGACAAGTTGATCTGTATAGAAGCTCAAAAAACTGAATTAGTTTCCCCAGTTAAATATCAAATTTCCACTAAAAAAATCTGAGTTTCTGACTTCCCTTAAAATTTCAGTATATCCAGCAGCTCAAGATCTATATTAACCACAAGGCGAAAATCCACTTGAGCTAAGTTTTGGTGCTTAACTCCATTAGATGGTCATACACTGTCCAGCTCAGGACCATCCCTTCCATCTCCCAATGCTCTATGTCTGTTCATCCCTACTCCATAAGGTTATTTGCCAGTGCTTATATCTTTTGATAGTCACTTGCCCCATGCAATACTTAWTACGTTTCATGGGTGAATAGCTAACAAAAGTTGGTGTTTGGCAGCTAGTAATCTTCCTCCTGAACAGTTAACCTCTTTGGGTTTTATTTTCTTCAAGTGTTAAATGAAGCGGTTAGACCAGGGGATCCCTAAGGATTCCTATTGCCCTGGCTTTCTGTGCTTACTCTAAATAACCTTAACCCTTTATCACTTGCAGTTTTTGTTTCTAATTCTTATGTTTCTGTCACTCTCTCCCCACCGCCATCTCTACGTCTATCATCATCTAAAAGATGGTTGTTTTCTATATTTTAGAGCAGGAGGGCTGCAGAGTTATCCATGAGGGAAAGGGTGGTGTTCTGTCATTGGCTGCCCATTTCTGGAAGTCAAAGGAGCATGCACGCCCACTCATTCTTTGTGTTCTCTCCTTATAAGAAACACTATTTGCTTTATAAGGCTTGAAGCAGGAAAACATATTGATTTTAAAAGGGATTTCAGAACTCATGGAAAATACTTACTCTTTTACTTCCATCAAACTTGCTGAGTATGATTTGCTCATAATATAAAGAATTCAATTGTTGGAAATGTTATACTTCTTGGTTTTAAATATACCAGCCAGTACCAGTTCTTTATCATTAAGCTACCATGGTGATAGATATCCTAGACACACACATATAAAGAACAATTTGCATTTTTTAAAACACTACATAAGATACATCTATAAGAGCAGAGTGCTTATCAAATCTAAGTAGTTAGCTTTTGAAACAGTACTGGTTCTCAAGAATAATGATGCTATCGCCAATACACTAATTGCTCCAGGAACCTGAAGACCAGAGTGTGAGGTAAAAGCTGCTTGCAGCCTTTCGGGGATATGATTTGATTTTAAGCAGATCTAATTTGCTATACTTTCATKTTGTCGTTTTTCCTATTTGGTTATAAAACATATCACAAAATGAAATATATCTTATTTTAGTTTCATAGTTAGATGGAACATATTTAATTGTGTGAAAGAATTGTTTTTCCTCCCTATCAATTTCTTTTTCTGTTCAAATTAGAAATGTACCTCTGAGCCAATAAATTTCTGATTATAATTTCAGAACTAACATTGGTTTTTGAAACAATTAGTGAAGAGACTTCACTAATATTTTTGCTACTGTGTGTTCTAGATCATTAAAAATTACACAGTGACAAGAAATCTAATTGCCTCTTGGTGGTGAAGGATGAAATTAGAGTTTATGTAGAAATAAAATCTACAACAGAAGTATACCTTCAAGGTTTTCAAATGCAGAAATAATTTGGGTTAGGACAGTTTACATTTCAGTCCTCTTAATTCTACTTTCCTATAGATCATGTTGTGTGTACGTATGTATATTCCGCCCTCCCCCCTCCAATTTGTTTATTGCAGGAACACATAGTGCTAGTGATTGATCTATCCCTGGGAGATGATTTGATAATAGCAGGTTACCTAATTGCATTCCTTCACTTTCTTTTTCACTTTAATAAGAAAGGCAAAAAAAAAAAAACAACCCTGAGTTTCTTGCATATTTCGAAGGGCTCTTCAAATGCTAATTATTCTTACTGATTCAGAAGATCTCAGGTTTCTACTGCTTAAAAGTGCAAGCAAAGGTTTTCTTGGAACCAAAAAACACCTGGAAACTAACGAATGTTCTTATAATCTCATTTTGTTGTATGATAAACTTAAAAAGATTGAACTAAGGAAAATTAATTTTTTTTGTAATTACTGGCAGGTGCAATGGGTATATTTACTTTTGTTCTATTCTTTAGGATATGAAAATAACTACAACAGCTGACTTAAAGTCTCTATATTATTTTCCTCCAGCTTTCCACAATTAACTCTGAATTCTTCTGCTCGATGCACAGTTTGGCATAATTTCAAATGCAGAAAAACAATAAAAGAAATACTTCAAATGAAAGTAGGGTGTGTAAATTACAAAACATGATAGAAAAGATGATTACTAATAAATAGATACACTATGAAATCTAACAGTATCATTAAAAACTCAGTTAATAAATAGTTCTGCTAATTATATTGTTCTTCAACAATTATGGTAAGGATTGTGGTTTAAATATAGGTATCTCTATATATGCATATATATATTTGAATAGATATATTTATAAAGAAAGAGTTATACTTTAATAATAAAAGTTTGGTTGATTTATTCTTAACATTTTTCAATATTATGATATTATGATAAGCATTAACAATAACAAAAACCAAAACAAAACAGAAGATTGATGATTCAGTCTGGGAAATAAAAATAAAAGTGAAAAAATATTCATAGAAAATATGAGATTTTTAAGGCATTAGCTACCTCTTCAATTGTTTAAGGTCAAGAAATACCTTAGGAGTTTTCATAAGCTACCAGGCCCTGTGCTGGGCACTGGATGAATTAAACTCACATTCTGTCTCTAAGGACAAATGAGGTGACTAGCTTGTGTGCATCTTATAGTTTTGGTATCTAGCATGGAGTTGAAGACATAAAAGGCAATCAATATCTGCTTGTTGCATTGATTCAAATATTTGTTGTCAGAGTGAACAATTGAGATTTCAGAATCACTATGTTGAATCATGTTTGGGCTTCTTAGAAATTTTGTAAATGGCAGAGAACCCAGTTGTAGGTTCTCTTAAGGTCTCTAGGATGCAAATGATTTAACAGTATTCAATAAAATCATTGCAGTTACAGTTTAGAAAGTTAAATTTTTTTTCCATTTCTGTTAATGCTTAATATAATGGCAAGTGCAGGAGTCTGAGGATAAGATACCTATGAGATCTTGGGCAAGCAACTGCCATCGTTGAGATGGCAATTTCTCCATCTTTAGAATGTAGGCCAAAGAAAGATGCTAACCTGAAGTCACAGATGATCTTAGAGGTCTTGAATGATTTAGAATTCAAGAAGACAGAAGACAGAATGGTGTGCAAAATGATGTGGGAATGTTGTCTCTAGAGTTTATTTTACTTTGAAAAATCATTATTTTACTTTGAAAAATCATCTTTAGAATAACATGCAAAACTTTTAATCAATACATTAAAATCAGAATAGAAACCATTCAGCTTGTTATTACACAAGAGAAATGCCATTTGGGGTTATTCCCCATTTTCTACATTTATAGTGTAATTAATCCATCAAGCAACTAATGGACATTTATTGAAAACCATTATATATTTTGAAATGTAATAACAAAAGGAATTAGCAAAAGATCTACCAATATCTTTCTTCAAAGAATCCACTATCTAATTAGGAAGATTAAATCAACCCAGTCTTCCTTTTCAAGATTGTTGTTGAGATGAATCTTATAACATGGAAGATTAGAGGGAAGCTCTATTGAAGATTATACTGGCTTTAATTGAAAGAGATTAATTCTAGCACTGTTATTAAGGAGATAGCATTCAAAGTGCTGTGCTAATCTATTCATGCATGACACATTTATGAGTGCTGACTCTATGCCAGACACATGAAAATAYTAATAAATAATACAGGGTCTTTTGGCATTAAAAACTATTATAGTGCAGGAAATAAACACAGAAACAAATAATCATCATGTTGTAATTCAGTATTTTAATTCAGATATGAAAAAGTTGTAAGGGAAAATAGAAGAGACATTCTAAGGACCCCTGTTTGGTTCTGACTCTCAGTGATCTCAAGCCTGAGTGACACAAAAACATATATAAAAAACTGAAATATAGGACAACATATGTTATATCATAATTAGTTACTAAGTGTCATGCTGCATCTGGGGTAGGAGAGTTCTCTGTCATCTATGGGAAGCAGGCATGAGAGAATGATCAAAACAAGGCCTGTGAAAGACGTGGAACTGTGGTTGTGCTGGAATCTATAAATAGGGGAGATGGAGCAGAGCCTGGCATCAAGGGCAGAGACATTGGCTAAGGGCACATTTGTGACACAATACATCATCTGCTTAACCTAGAGCACAGGGCAAGGGTAGGGACTGAACTTTATCCTGGGGAGAGAAAAGTATTGTGGTTTTATGCATAAAGGAAAGAACAGACAGAAGTGTGTTCTCAGAAGCTTCACTTAGGGTAAATGGAAATGCGGGGAGGGTCAGGGACAGAAGATCTGCTATAGCAGTAGTTCATTGAGAAGCAATGAGATGCTAGAAGCTAGACAGAGGTGAGCCCACTGGGAATAAAAAGCAGGAAATGGATTTCTGTGGTATTGCAGAGGCAGAGAAGCAGGATTTGACAGTGCATGAGGTTTGGGACTGAGCAAGGTAACAGGCAAAGATGAGTCGGATTTTTTTTTTTTTTTTGAGTACGCTGTTGATGTTGGCAGAAATAAGAAAGTCAAGAGGACAAATTGTTTATGGAAGGAATGATGCTTGCAGATGTTTAACTCTCATTGAGGTCAGTGTGGATGGGAACAGTCATGTAAAGCTTGGGAGCATAGAATATGGGCTTTGAAGGGCAAGTGAATTTGGGTAAACATAGAGGAGAAATTTGGACATTCTAGGCTCAAGGACCAGCATGCATGGAGGTTCCCACATGGAACTATTTAAGAAAGCTATAACAAGGGCTATTATTTATTGAGCATTACTGGGTTATAAGTTCCATAAAGTTCTATAGAGTTCATCTGATTTGTTTTACCAAGTTTAAGATTGTGTCTAGCACTTGGCATGTGTTCAATAATGTATTCACTAAAAAGATCAATCAATAACCACTTATGCTAAGGATTGTGCAAAGTATCTAGAATAGAGGCAAAGAAGATACGTTCATGCCTTCAAAGAGTTCATATCATACAAAACAATGTGTTACGTGGTTGCAGAGCTGTTTGGAAATCAAAAGAGGTAAATCCAAAGAGGCTTTACAGAAAACACATTGACATTCTCAGAATGTGAGTGGCATCAAGGAGGATGGGTAGGAGCTCATGAAAGGCAGACAGGGAAGTAGAGGAAGGGATTCCAGACAGAAGACATTGCATTGTGTAGGCATGGACTGTCGGGGAATTTATTAGGTTTATAGGGTGTGTATGGATAAGGGAAAGGGGAAAGATGAGATTGGAGATGTACATGGAAGCCATTTCTTAAGGGACCTATCTGTCATACTAAGGAACTCTGAATTATTTTCAAGGACTGGGGTATGCTGAGGGATTATGAAGATAAGTGATGTAGGAGTTATAATCTTAGAAATAGTTGCAAGCAAAAGTCAGGTTGAGAAGGTCCAGCTTTCTACATACTATTAGCATAGTCATACCCTTTAGGAAGGTCCTGGAAAATTACTAAAGAAGATATTTAAAGAGATTCATTTGCTGGCATCGCTTCCATCATTTTCTTCACACCTTAGGACCTACATACTCAATTTTGGGTGGAGGGGTACCAGGGATTGGACTCAGGGGTACTTGACCACTGAGCCACATCCCAAGTGCTATTTTGTATTTTATTTAGAGACAGGGTATCACTGAGTTGCTTAGCATCTCACTTTTGCTGAGGCTGGTTTTGAACTCTCAATCCTCCTGCCTCAGGCTCTGGAGCTGCTGAGATTACAGGTATGTTTCATTGTGCCTGGTATGGCCTGGATACTCTTATTCCTATATGGGGAACTTGAACTTGGTCCTTTCTTTCTTTCTTTCTTTCTTTCTTTCTTTCTTTCTTTCTTTCTTTTTTTTTTTTTGAGAGAGAGAGAGAGAGAGAGAGAGAGAGAGAGAGAGAGAGAGAGAATTTTTTTTAATATTTATTTTTTAGTTTTTGGTGGACACAACATCTTTATTTTATTTTTTATGTGGTGTTGAAGATCGAACCCAGCACCCCGTGCATGCCAGGCGAGCATTCTCCCACTTGAGCCACATCCCCAGCCCCCTGGCCCTTTCTTTCTACAAGGTACATTTGTTAAGAGCTACTAAAGCCATTGGGGCAGGGAGATGGAGAGGCATTCTATTTTTACACTGTAAAAACCTAAGCTATATTTAGGCTTCAGGCTCTTCTACTGCCTAACTGTGTGACATGGAGGCATGTTCATTAGGACACCTAAACTTGTTTCTTCATCTGAAAGAATAAGGTTAAAAGTTTAAAACTAAATGCATGCACTTCATCAATTTGTTGGATTATGTTTAAATCAGTGGATGTTGGAAGAGTTGGAAGGCTGAGTTCTTCTTACATTTGCAAATAAGAAGTCTTGTACCCAAACATATCATTCTTCCAAATTTTTAAAAAATAAAGACATATTTCTAAAGCTGTAATTTAAAATTTACTTTTGGTTAAATATAATTATTCTAAAAATGGCATATCTCTACATATGTTTGCTTGGTGCAATTGAATATTACTTGCCTGTTTATAGAATGTGACATAAATGGGAACAAGATAATTATAGACAATTCTGGTTAACAGAGTTACCAGAATCTAAGTCTTCTATGAGTGGATGGCTTAGATTTTTTGTTTCTTCTCTCCCGGTTTTTACTTTCTCTTTGACCCCGAGGGAAACTAACTGCATTTATTTCAAACATTTCTTACCTGCATATCTTCAATATATAATCCTAATACTCGGTACATCTGAAGGTCCTGACATCCGGCACTCATAAATTGCTTTATAAATGTGGACTTGGGCCTTGTGGGCAAGACAGCAAAAGTAGTCAACAGAATAAGAGCATTTGTTGGCTACTAATGATTGCACTGGGTGCTTCAGGGGATAACAAAATTGAGAAAGAAAATATTTTCTATGCTTTCAGGTAAGCCTACAATTTAGCTAGGCAGTCTAAACACAAATGCTTTTTTGAAGAAGAATAAAAGTAGCGCACATGGGAGTGCTTGGCATTGCCTGGATAATAAGTCTAACATTACCAAAGAAATGCTCTGTCAGAGCTGGAATCTTAGAGACCATTGTGGTCTCCTAGACACGTGGAAGCTTGCCAGCTAAACAGGCTCATTCGTTACTCTTAACTTGACAGACAAAAGTGGTTTATTAATGCATCTTGTGTTGGATCTGAAATTTTAAGAAATGGAAACAACAACAAAAAAACTCATTTGGCTTCTTAGGATTTCTTTATTATAGGCAGTTTTTTTTTTCGGTTATTTTGACTACAGATTTATTAAGGACTTCTGAGGTGAAAATGGTTTGTAAAGCAGTTCTACTCAGGAGGTGTTTGTGGGGGTTTGGATCACTTGGAACTGGTTGTGGTTTGACATGTGAATGGTATCCATGAGCCTGGACAGCCCCAACTGTTGAATTTGCAGCTACAGTGGAAAGTTCTGCCCACTGCCTCTGTCGAAGGCACCTATGATTTCTGTCCTCTGGGCTTTTATGATATGATGAATTATTTTTAATTAGTATTGCAAACCATTTTTCCTTATCTAGATAATATTTCAGCACCCAACACAACAACTTTGGCAGCTCAGAAGTGAGCTTTTGTAATATACTTACTTCTGTAGGTATCAACCATTGTAAATGACTTGGAGAAGAACACACATTTATTGCAGAATAAACATGAAAGGTTTTTATTTTTTTCAATCTGGAATTTTCAACACTGATCTTTGAATTCCTTGTTAGCATCCTTTAACAACAACTGGGATCAATTCTATGGCTTTCTAATGATATTTTAGTTATTAAAACTTGGTGTAATTCAGTTTAAGACTTCAATCTCATCTGTAATTCAAAGCTTCCTTCCCCTAGTGTGGGCTACTGCTGGAAGCCTGCTTTATTGAGTGGTGAAATATGTTCTGGCTCTGAAATGCCTTCTGGGCTTTGCTCTTTGAGGTCAAACTCTTTTAGATTAGGGAAACATGGGCAGAATGAAAGAACCAGGAAGCAGAGATCTTATAGTATGACTGTCCTCCTGCTGATGATGCTGGAATGCTGCCCTGCTGTTGCAGTAGTGTATCCTGGTACTGGCTGATCTTGGTTGTCTCTGGTTGAGGTAGAGTGATGGCTACCTAAGTGCTAGGATGTTCATCTTTGGGCAGAGCTCAGCTTTTCAGCTGCCTTCTTTATTCCCAAGAACTCCTTCAGATTGAGGGAGTCAAATCTTTCTTGAGTTCTGTTTCTCATTATAGGAGCACAGGTAAACCCCCAATGCCATCTGTAGTGCCTTCTCTGGAACTTTGGGAACAGGGAAATGGATTCCATCTTGTTCTTTAAGGCACACTGTATCATAGTGGCTTTAAGCCTTGCTGGCCTGGCCATTTTGGTGATCTTTCCATCTTTAAAAATCTCTTTTTCAGAAAAGGACCCAACCTCTACATTCACATATCTCTCAACTTTTTTTGTAATTGAAGCCTTCCCTCATTTTGCTCAATTCCATGGCAGGAACCATCCAACCAGGGTGAATGTCAGTGCTGTCCGGGTCTCTGTGAATGGATCTCCTGGAGCCACTCTCACATAGTTCTAGCAAGGGGGAAGCCCAGAAAGAGCATGAGTTCTGCACTCCCCAAAGCATGTGGAGACTGAGAAGCTTCTGTAAATATTGGATAAATCATATATCAGTAGGTAAACATAGGGCAAGATTATGAAATTTCAGATAGAGACATGAACATGAACACAGAGTTGAAGAATATGGACATGTTCAGAGACAAAGACTTAGTCTAATTTGGTTGTGACATAGGGAAGTAATGAAAAATCAAGTCGCAGAAAGAAAAAACTGAAACAAAAGATTCCAGGAGTTGGGAACTTAGATGCTAAGGACATAGTCATGAACAAAACCAGGTGGCAGATGCTTACAAGTTTGAACACTGTTGTCTGCATTGCATTTCCAGGGCTGATATGGTTAGTAGCAAGTGGTTCTGAAGCTCTAGAATTCTAGATTCTGGTGCTTGTTAGAGTTACTATAGCTTTTGGGAGTTCTAGTGGTTTATATTTCATTCATCTGACACTAATTAAATCTTTTTCATCTGTAGAAAWTTCTTCCCTTTCAGCAAGTAGGTCTCATAAAATGTACCATTCCATGAAAGTCTTTACTTGGMGTTACAGAGATAACAATATAGTCTTTGTATACAGTAAATAACTCTTCCTTGGTATTGATTGATTGGAGAAAGAATTATAACAATACAGTGGCAATACAGTAATAGGTTCTTATTGAACATGTTCACTGATGTGGATTTAAAAACAAGCATTCAGCTGTCATAAGCTTTTCTGATATTGTTGGGAAATATCATTGATTGCCCTTTGTATATTCACAATTCTATCCACTGTGAATTTGTAGGATGGCAACATATAGTAAAGTAAAATAAAAACAGCAACAAGATCTAACATTTATTGAGATTTTACTATATCCCTTCTCTTTTGTAAACCACTTTCCTCAGGCTCAACTGAGCCCCACAGAGGCACCATGGAGAAGGCACTGTCACTATCTCTATTCTACATTTGAGGGAACTGAGGCATAGAGAGGTTAAATTTCTTGATGTCTATTTTATATGTAAAGGTGGAACTAGGAAATCATCTAAGCCGTCTAGGTTCTACTGCTGAGCTCCTCAATGATGCAGCCTTGATTGGGGAAGTATAAGACTCAGGATGGGTCTCCTAGTATATGCAGACATATGAGGGATGTGGTAAGAGGCTTATTATGAGTAAACTTATACAGCTGTTCTCTTCACATCTATCTTTAATGTGAGTTTCCCTGATTTTCTATCTTTTTCAATAGCCTGCAAGTGAGTTGACTGTCCCTTCTTAATTGTCAACCCTACCTTCCAGTAACTGGTGGCTGGTATCAAGGAAAGCTGTTGAAGGTGGCAGCTCTTTAATGTAATATTATCATTTAGCATCAAATTCTTAGTTGGAATATCAAAAAAACTCATTTGTGTCAGTATAATAAGAGTTGAATAAGCTCAGTGAGATAATTTCATCAAAATTAAATTGGGAACAAATGTATTGATTAATTTCATGAATTCATTACTTTTTAAATCAACTTGAGGTATAATTTTAGATGATAAATTGGATCTATATTTTAAATGTATAGTTTAATGAATTTTGACAAATGTATGAAATAGTAAAACATCAAGCACAATCTACATGTAGAACTTTCTATTATTCCAAAAAGTCTCTTGTACCAACTTCTAGTCACTTCATGTGTTAACCTTCAACTCCAAGAAAATGTTGATATGTTTCCTAGTATTATAGATTAAATTTTCTTTCTATTTGACCATAAAGGGTCATATACACTAGTGTGGTTTCTGTTGTTTGTTCAACAAAATGTTTCCAAGGGTTATTCATGCTGTTTCATGTATTGGTAGTTCATTTATTGATGATAATATTTTATTATATTGATATAGTACAACTTGGTCGTCCATTTACCTTTGCCAAACCTTAAGTTGTTTTCAGCAATTAGCTATCATGAATGAAGCTATTCTGAATATTTGTGTACAAGTCTTTTTGCACTTGAACTTTTCATTTTTTCTTGGGTTATTAAATTCCAATTAAGAGACAGAAACCATACAGTGATTTGAATAGGGACAGTTTAAGGAAAAAATATTATAAAATTACTAAGTATATGATATTACTAGTAGATCATCATTAGACGTTTAAAATAAAGGAGTATTGGTTAATAAGAGGTAAAGAGAATTC